GAGTATATGAATTCTGCATTTCCTATTTGGAGATTTAAGTACTTAGAGATTATGTCCCTTAACATGCAACTTAGCAAGGAATAATGATGACTGATATAAACGCTTTGTGTTGGTTGCTCAGTGGAAACTGTGAAGAAGCCTCTGGCATATAGCAAAATACAAGAGAGCCTCCCTGGACGTGCAGCACTCCCAAAGAGATCTCCTGCTTTTTTTCTCCTGATATTTTATCAAGTCTCTTCTTGCTTTCTTTGTTTTGACAGTATAATTAAAAAAAAAAAAATCCAGTATACCCCACCAACATTAGGGTCCCCAGTACAAGCTGTATCCAGCGCTAGGGTCCCCAGTACAAGAAAGGAATGCACATGTTAGAACAAGTCCGGAGGAAGGCCATGAAAACAATCAGAGCTGGAATACCCCTCCTGGGGGGAAAGGCTGAGAGAACTGGGGTTGTTCAGCATGGAGAAGAGAAACTTCAGGGGAGACCTTATAGTGGCCTTTCAAACTGTAACATGAGCTTAAAGGAAGACTGAGAGCGACTTTCTACCACAGCCTGTTGTGACAAGAGAAGGAGCAATGGTTTTAACACTCAAAGAAAGTATGTTTAGACTGGATATAAAGAAGTAATCCTTTTACTATGAGGGTGGTGAGGAGCTGGCACAGGTTGCTCAGAGAAGTTGTGGATGCCCTATCAGGTCAGATGGGGTTTTGAGCACCCTGACCTAGAGAAAGATGTTTCTGCCCGTGGCCAAAGCTTGGACTAGATATAAAGCTCAAAGCTATAAAAGACACAAACCCAGAAACCACCCTAAGAATTTCAAAAGCAAGGACAGATTAGGACCTCGCTCCAATACAGCAGCAGAGACAAAGGCAGCACACTCTTAGATCTGATAATATACACCATGCTAGACACCAGATGGCCTGTCCACAACAAGCCATGAAAAACTTACTGTACAGAGGATTTAAACAAGGGCCTCCCAGACTGCAGACCTACTTGCCTGGCCATCAGATAAACCCTAGTGATGTGTCAACTTTAGAAGACTGAAACTGAGTGCATGGGAACATTTTCCACTGTGTCAAGTTTCACAGACATATCTTGATTTTCTTCTATTCAAAAGGCATTCTGACATGAAAAGTTCAGAATAATTATAGTTTCATTAAGATATACTTCATTATTCTCTCAACCACTGCAGTAAAAGGGAACTTTTACTTAAAGAAGGGACAGCAATACCCACAATCTTAATAGGAAAGACTCAAAATGTTACTGTCAAATATGATCAGCATCATAAAACCCAGGATCACAGTTCATGCTCATCTAAGAAATGTCAGTAACACAACAGCTAAAAATATAGCATGGAGACCACAGAGTCATGACACTAGACACCCTAAATAGTTTTTAAAAGCTAACATGTTTCTAATAAAAGTGTTAAGTAGAACAATTTTATCTAAATTGATAGCCAGCTGTACTTAAAAACTATGATCATTATGACCCATAAACAGATAAAATCCTATCAAGCACAATTACCCGCTTTATACAAAGGGCAAAAGCCACACTGACTGTCAAATTCTCCAAATATGGCCACTAAAAAGTGCTTCGACTTTCACGGCTGATGCAGAGTCCTGGACACTTTCTTTAATGGTTGTCACTATAGCATCTTTAACAGCACTAAGGGATAGGAGTCAAAAGAAAATAAGAACAGCTTTTATAACTGTCACCAAACAGCAGTTACTGCTGTTGCAGACCTAAGCAGAATTTACATAAAGAGGGGAAAACTTATTCCAAGCAGCCTGTTCATTCATCAGGGACTGCAGTGATAGGGCAAGGGGAAATGGGTTTAAACTAAAACAGGGGAAGTTCAGGTTAGATATAAGGAAGAAGTTCTGTACTATGAGGGTGGTGAGGCACTGGCACAGGCTGCCCAGAGAAGCTGCAGCTGGCCCCATCCCTGGCAGTGTTCAAGGCCAGGCTGGCCAGAGCCTTGGGCAACATGGTCTAGTGTGAGGCACCCCTGCCCATGGAAGGGGGTTGGAACTGGATGATCTTAAGGTCGTTTTCAACCCATGTGCACATTCACAACCTGATTAGGCAAAACATCCATACTGGTAGCTACTGCATGTCAGAATGCACACCCCAATCCTGAGCTAAGGAACACCTTCCCACAGTGGAAACTCTAAAGAGTTCTCACAGAGGCAGGTGTGTCTCTCCTGGGCTCAATTACCAAAAAAGCCTCAAGTTCCCTTGTCTTACCCACACTGACGAATCGCAGACAAACCATCCAACTTGGCAACTGTTGTCCCTCAGGTACCAGAAGCAGTTCTATCTGCCGTGCTATTTTGAAAGCAATGCAGCTTGAACACTCTTTTTAGGAGTATTTTTAGGAGTATTTTGGAAAAAAACATAACACATAGAAACACTTGACAGGAACAATCTTCTACAACTCATGAAGCATTTGAAGTTCATTGGAAAGACTTGATGCCATAAAAATACTTTTAAAAACAAAAGTCAGCCCAGTGACTGCATTTAGGAAAGACAGAGGGTAAAAGCTTTCCAAGAAGGAAAGAAAAAGAATTTTCATCAACACATTTCTAAGCAAAGGAGCTTGTCTGACTCTAAAAAGCAGTTAGACAACTGAATGGAAAAGGAATACACAGCTTTACAAATGCAGGCAAAACGTGTTTTGTTTTACAGTGTTTGGCTGAACTCATCTGCGTACTGGGTCAAAAATGTTCTTCTTAAGGGTCTTGTGCACAGGTTTGGTATTGATGTACACAAACAATCCAGCTACTGACCTATGAACTTTGCTCTTTCTCTGAGGTTCTTCTTATTTACAGTAGATGACTGCAAGGAGCATGTTCCAGTTCAAGTAAGTTATCCAGAGACAGGATCAATGTTCCTACCTGAAAAGATGATGTGGCACTGCTCTACTCAATGCTTGAAGGCTTCAGTGATCACATAGTACTTCCTAATGTGATCAGAGCTCTAAGCAACAGAAATACAGATTTCTGAAAAGAAAGTATCCTTCAACATGCTGCTGGGCTCACTTACACTGCACTAGGAACTACCATGACTACTCCTAGCAGTTCCAGCTTAGCTACGTAAGCTGCTCCCATGCAGAAGTTGAAAAACACATACAGGTCTGACCACTCTTGTGAGACTTCTTTGCTAAAGAAACACACAAACTTTTCCCCTTTCTTATGTCTGGGAGCATAAGAAAGCTATATTCTGAGGGCCTTCAAAAGGAAACTTGTAGGTTAATAATGCTGCCCTTGACAAAATTCAGAAGCTGCCTCAAGTTAATATCTGGGTTGATCATTCAGTGATATTTACGCCGCCTCTTGTTAGGACAGAAGTGTAAAGTAACAGGACTTAAATCTCACCACTACTCTGAAATGAGCAATAGCTGCTACAATGACTGCCTCCTTGAAGAGGTGCAACAGCAACAGCTTAAAAGACTGAGGAATAGGATCACTCCATGAAGGTAAAACCCTTACTGAGCTATGAGCAAACTCCAGAGAAAGACCTAAACCTGGCAGACTCTGGAGGCAGAGAAAGGCTCACTGTCATCAACGCAAGGTCAGCTCTTCAGTTGCTACAAAGGAGAGAGAAGGGCAAAATTATGTGCTTCTCCTTCCCTTTGGGCCTCCTGTAACAGACCACACCAATCACTAGCAGAAAGGACTGCTAGCAGTTGATCCCACTGCAGGTGGGGGGCTTGAAGAGTGTTGACAGTAAAGAAGGTGAAGCAGGTAGGACTTGATGAAAAATAAACTAGCAATTTCTTTTAACATATACAGTGGTTTTTTTGCTTTGCCACTAAGCTGTTCTTTCAAAGAGAAAACACTCCTATTACAGAAAATTCACAGATCCCAGAATGATGCCAAAGATATAAAGAGCCAACATATATGGGGTTTTCTCCTGGTTATCTTTAGAGCTGTGGGCTTAAAATCCCTTGAATTTGCTGATACGTATAAGGTACTCCCCTAAAAAAGTTGCAAAGACACATACTCTTACTGTGAGGGTGGTGAGGCGCTGGCACAGGGTGCCCAGAGAAGCTGTGGCTGCCCCATCCCTTGCAGTGTTCAAGGCCAGGTTGGATGGGGTTTGGAGCAACCTGGTCTAGTGGAAGGTGTCCCTGCCCATGGCAGGGGACTGGAACTAGAGGATATTTTACATCCCTTTCAACATAAACCACTATGATTCTATGATACAAACACCTGAAAGTGCATTAAACCTTAAGCTATGAAGTATGTCTGGAAGCCTGACATTTTAGGCTTTAGAAGGGCCATCAAAAATAAAAGATAAACCCAAACAAATCAAAGACATAGGTAACATATCAAAAGACATCAAAAAACCTATGACTTAATCTATAGCATGGATCGAGCTCCAGCCTTTAACATTAAAGTATGTGAAGAGGTCACAGCAATGTTACTGCTGGACCAAAGAAGTCCATAGTTGCAGGTCTTTGGGTATAGGCAACCTTCAATCTAAGCATGTCTTTGAATAAGTACTCAGAAGTAGAAGTATCCAATCTTTTTTAATACAAGTTTCAAAAGTGAGATAAAATTGGCTTGATGTTTCTCAGTTTGTCCCTGAGAAAATGGTAAGATTGTAAGCTCTTTTGTGAAGTAAACCTACAGCCTTGCAGGACAAGTGACAAAACTGTTATTTCTACCATCCTGGAATTACAGAATATCAAACCGAATTATTGGCATAAGAAGCTAGCGACTTGACATTTCAGTTTTACTTGAGTGGATATATCTTTTGAAAACATCTTGATAAAAGAAGCATTTCAAAGCTCTAATGAAATGGTCTTAAACTGGCCGAAACCAGCACAGAAACAAGCTTCAAAGTTCCCATACTCTAAGAATTTGGTTACTTTAGACAACTTACTGCTGTAAAATTAGTTTGCAAACTACTGAGAAGCCAAGAGTCTAAAACATTCTTCCTATGCAACATTTGCTAGAATACATTAAATTTGACAGATACATTCAAGTCTTCTTACCTCTTGTCCTGAAAGGTAGTATGCTGCTAGAAGACCGCCAATGAAGCGAATATTGACCTCAAAAACAGATACTTCAGAATTCTAGAACAGAAAGAAAGAGTCAACATTTAACCAACTCCCTAATCAGCAATGGGAAAATAACCGTCAAAGCAGAGGCTGCGTTTGTATTTCAGTATCTAGATTCATACTGAACTTCCCATGCACATCTTCAGGACACCAAATGATAATTCTAATTACAACCTCAACTGATTTTTAAAAATCAGACTAGTTTTTCTCCTGCTCTCTAACCTTATCATCACCACAAAGTGCAATTAAAGTTGTTTGGGAATAGTGGGAAGGAAGAAAAGACCTGCATATTTCCATAATACAGCATCTTTTCTCTTACATTTAAGCATACCACTGCCATCCCTGGAGATGTTCAAGGCCAGGCTGGATGTGGTTCTGGGCAACCTGATCTAGCTGAAGATGGCCCTCCTCATTGCAGTGGGTTTGGGCTAGATGAGATTTGAAGGCATCTTCCAACTTAAACTGTTCTATGATTCTCTAACACCAAATTTTCTGGGTTTACAGGATAAAGCTAAATAATAATTAGGTAATTCCTGTAATGCACTTTCTTAACCTGAATTATGAGCGTACAATCTTAAATTTAGAGCTCTATTTTAACATAGCCTCTGTCTAGGAATAGCATTTACGTATTTAACGATATGACACATAGTACTGCAACACCACCGAGAAACTCAAGAGAATAAACCATTTTACTGCCTTCCTCCACATTAATATCATTGGGCTAAATTCACCAGTATCTTGTGACTCATTTGAACCACTGAAAATTTAAGAGGAACTAGCTTGTTCTTACATCTTTCTGCCTCCCTCTGCACCCCATTCACTCCTTTGTCTGCATACACCCTATTTGCCTCCTTCATAAACTTCTAATTCAAGCCATTAAACACAGAAATGCAGTTATCTTAGAAGATTTTGAGATAAGGGAGACTTCTCTCATCCAGAAAAGTCACTACAATATACAATGTACAAGTTGACCCATCTGTTAGCACACAGTTCGAACTTATGGGTATATCTTTCCCTTCACACTATTTCTATGGCACCTGAAGTTGTGCATTTTGCTTGTATCCAAAATAAATGTGCTTTGCACGTTATGTATTTCAGAAAGATTCTATGAATACTCTAAAAGGTTCCTCAAATAGCACTGATGACTAGAAGTCCGAAGTTTGAAATACTCCAAAATACAGATTTTTAGTAAAAAAAACAGTTTTATTCACATATAGGTGACTCAAGAAAAGTATCAACAGTGCAGCATATTATTCCATTTAATACCTATGAAGGTCATGAATCACAGAAGCAATAGTACAGGGTAGAGTGAAAAAAGATTTATTTTTCCTAGTAAAAGAATTCAAGAGCAACAAACATATATTTATTTATAAACTTCAAGCCATGTAAGGAAATTACTCAAATCTGATGTATACAAGTCATTAACACAGAGAAGTGTTCTCTGATACATAGAAAGCTGTCATTGAACTTTAGATTCTTGGAATACACAGTCTGATTCTAAACCTACTTTGAGGACAACCTTCCTGGTCTAGTGAAGGGTGTCCCTGCCCATGGCAGGTGTTTGGAACTAGATGGTCTTTAAAGGTCTCTTCCAACCCAAACCAGTTTGGGAATCTATGATTTTATGGGAATTTCTGCAGTTTATATTGATACAACCTTACATCAGACAAAAGTTATGGAAGTAATTTAGGTTACCCTCATAACAGTACCATTATGTCTATGTTCTCTGATACATAAGATCTTCAGTTTTAGACTAAATAATTATCTGGCATTAACTGCAAAAAGCAGAGTAGAATTTCTTTAATGTTTGCCAGAGAGTCAATGCATAAAACAAAAAGAAAACACCCAAATAAATAATTTCTGAAACATAAGATATAGCATAAACCCAACAGGAAGCATCTGCTCAATTCTGACTGTATCCCTACATTTCATTTTGTGCATTATTGGAATGTCCAGTAATTGTCCAGGAAAAGTACAAGGATTGAAATACAAATTGCACCACAATCAGGTGAAAGTCCCTGAATCAGTAACAGGAACTGAGAAGGATAAAATAGAGCCATTTTTTTCCATTTTAACACTTCCCAACTCCACACACACAAAAAATTACTGTATGATCAACTGGGAATTTTTTTTTATAGATTCAGAACAGGCAAACTATGATGATCCAGATGGCATTCTTCATGTTAAAACATCTTAAGGACACGAAAGAAGAAGAGATTTTACTGTTAGGCAATTTATACACTATGGTTTGGGAGGAAATTGTCTTTTAAAGCTCAGTTACTTCCAACTACTATGACCTAGTAAAGCCTCATTTCTGCCTTCATTTGTGACACCTTGTTGGTTCTCACTGACCACTTCCCCTCCCTTCCACTTTCCAATTATAGGTTGGCCTTTGGAAATACAATATATAGCTATATCTTTGCTTACAATTTAAAGTGTGAAAGGGTTGGGATGTTGCAAACAGGGAACTTCCCTAAAGCTTACACTGATACTTTGAATCCCAAGTTTTTTAAGTTCCAGCTGAAAGACCTCTTCTGTCTCCCCCTGAAGTGGAACACTGTGAAAAAGACCAGGGAAGTATTAAGGACAGCTCTACTTACCACACTGAAATCAAGGTTTTTGTCAATCCACTCTTGTCCTTCTCTGAATTCATCGTGAAGCCCCATGATATAAAGAGTATCCAATGCATCTACTATGGTAGCACCCATTTGTGAGTTTCCTGCACACAAAAAGAAGGATTCCTATTACAAGTGATTATTTTATTACTTTTCCTAAACTTCACAAGCATGAGAAAATAACCCAAGCGGTAGTAAAGCAAAGTTACAACAAAGATGACAGCACAAAGAACAATCAAAACAAGCACGGAATTAGCAGTTACATAGGAGGATAACACTTCTCTTCCAAAACATCAAGTCCTCTGGCACAGTTTGGCTTCTGGGGACAAAAAGACAACTAAAGACAGAAAAAAAAACCCAAACCACCTCATCTGCTTTCCTAACCTGACCATAAGCACCTACTTTGCCACAAAAAAAGGACAGAAAGACATCCAGCTTCAAAAAGCTATCAGGAATTCTAGGACAGAAGTGTTTAAAAAAAAAGAAGGCAAGCACACACAAGATAAAGCAACCAGTACTTGCAGTAATGCCTTGCACTTCCCAACACTGACTACTGAAACAGTAATTATAGAAGCTACCTAGTCACTAAAGCATGGGCTGATGAGCACGGACACCCAGAGCTGCCTTGACTGATAAAGCCAAAGCTCCAAAATGTTCGCACCATTGCCTGCAAAGGACCCACACTATGAGATGCTGATGGATTCCTCAACTGCCACCATTTAAAGTGTAGCATTTAAAGCCAAATAAAAATCAATGGTGCTTTACTCTAAAATACTGTTCAATTGAAACAGCAGCAATTTCCAGAGGATTGATGAGTGACTCATCAGTTTGTGCAAAAGAGACAAAATGAGGAGGTGGTGAGCTACTGCCTGCTTTGGCCTTGACCTCCCTAGTCCATCTCAGCTTAAGCTGTTGCCTGTAGTAGGCAGAGGTCTTCGTTTCTAGAGGAAAGCAAAAAATACAATTTTTTGCATTTATTTTCATGGTATGTATGAAACTCCCTATGCACTAAAAGTAGCCAAATTTTACTGTTCACACCAGTATTCTATAAAACAGTACAATAACTTCATGATTAGCAATTTAATGTCAGTAGTCTCCTAGCGAGTCAAGCCAATTTTTTTTTTTTAATGTGCTTTTCATCCATAGCGAAATCTCTATAGTGCAGTGTTCCTGGTTCTTGTTTCTATTCATTCATTTCTGGTTTTTACATGTTTAGAGGTATTTTTTTCTCCTCAAGCATAACAATAACTGAAGCCATCACCCCCACTGTATTTCTTTTCACACACCTAAATGACACTTACATGCAAGCTTAACTTCATTTTCAGGGATTTCTTTCCCTGAATAGTAAAAATTAAGCAGCCTCTGTAACAAAGTAATCACCAACTAATGTCTTCAGAAACAGCCATGCATATGTTTTAAATTAAACTAGATATGGAAAGCCTAAAGTCATGGTGTTTGTTAAGAATATTCAAGTATAGAACAGGATACACTACCTTTCACAAGATTAAACACACATTCTTCCACAAATTGGCCACCAGGCATACCTATAACTCTCAGGAAATGAATTCAGCGTGGTGGGGTAAGTACTGTAAGGTTGAATGCCTTCGTCCAAATGACAAATTCTACTGCTTGTGCTGAAGCGGAGGTTGCTTTGAGCAGAGCTACAGCATGCATTTAACTGCACCTTTTCATAAGTATTAATGTGACAGTTATTTAATTAAACACTTTAAATACACAAATCAGACCATGACACAATGACTAACCTCAGTATTAGCCAACAAGGCATTTTTGACCTGGAGCTGGAGTGTGTTATACTGCTATGGCACTCAAAGCAATTTCTGTCCCTTTATTTGAGTCACACCGATATTAGTAATTTCCAAATACACAAGGTGTTTCAACAAATAGGGATAATCCTGAAAGCTCCTCGTGTAATAGTTTCAAAAAATAAAATCTTTTTGAATTAAACACACTTATAAACACATCGGTAAACTCTTATATTTGACATCTAGCATGGGGTGTAGAGAATATGCTGCATGGCATGGACTGGTGTGTCATTGCCCCTTCAGTCCAGTAGAGCAAAACAGACTTGCTCAGCATTTTTTGTCCCTAAGAGTCAATTAAAGGCATAGATACATATTCTAAGATTTTGTCTGGGCTACACTCCAATATTTTTTTCAGGCTCTCCTGGATGATGCCTTTTTGCCCCTCTCTCTCATCTTTTATGTCCATCTTTCCTAGACCCACAAACATTCAACAAAACACGTGCGTGTGAACAAAGCCCCTTCTACTCACTCACACTTCTTACGCGAGCAGCGATGGGTGCCTGTTTCTGAAATGCAGATCAGTATGGTTTTAGTTTCTAGACTCCATGCAAGAGCTCAACTATTTCCTACCATGGTCTCCTAAGGATTGCATTTATATCATAACCTACAATAAATTATTTTTTCTTAGTTCTTACTCATAAGTAGACTATTTAAAAAAAATTTGCTTTGGTTTTCCTTTTTAACTGCACACCAGCCCGTCTTCCTTGAGGAAGACTCAGAACAAATCTTTGGGTTTTAAACCTTTTGGGCTGAACACATTTCCAAAGGGCCAAGAGATGACAAGCCAGTATTTTGCAACAGACTGTCTACCCAGTCTTCTTCCTTTAGTGCCAATCAGGCAGCACAAAGCAAGCTAATTCCCTCCTCTGGACACTGAGGGAGAAGAATCCAAAATGCAGAGTTCATACCCAGAAGTCTTGTGCTTACAAGAATGGAGGACATAAGGCAATAGTAGTCAATGCAAGTAACACCTTGGCTGGCCTATGTTACAAGATAGGTATAATTTACAGCCATTTGCAGGCTACACAAGGTAGGGTTAGAGAGTAAAATTAATGAGTTGCTCTCAGCTTCACTCTTGGAAGACAATGTAAAGAGGATGTCAGGTTTAATTTGTTTCTAAATAACGGCTTCCATGAAATCCACCTGTATCTGCTGAGATCCACGACTTAACCAGAACAGGAAGCGATGTTGTCATTGCTGTCTCACTCCATCTTAAAAATGCACTGCACTGATAGCAAAAACTAAAGCAGGAAGAAACAGCAAGTGTTCAGTGACCACTGGCCTGCATTAGAGTCACATGTGATGCTACAGGGAAAATAGGCTACAACGGATAGGCAGCTGTACTTCCTCCTCCTGATGTTGGTACAAACCATTCAGTCTAAAGTCACAAAGAGAAATCATTTTCCATTCATAATAGAGTATGGGTTTTTCCCTTTCATAACCATACTAAGATTCACTAATTTTGCCTTAAAAGAGAAGAGGAAAGTCTTCCTGGACTTAAACTGCAGAAAGTGTCATTTATAAGTCATGAAGTAATTCTGAACAATGAGATAATACTATTCACTGCTTACTACCACCTCAACCAGTCTGATCTATTATTGCTCTGAATACAGAAAGAGCAGATGTCTCATTGGGGTGAAAAAGGCTATAAAACAATTAAATTATAACAGAAAATAACACTTCTCCTAGCAGAAGGCACACCTCCCAGGGTCTGCCTCTGCTCAATACAAAGGCTCAGTTGGTCACGTTGAATAAGGTAATAACTGATTCCAAAAGGGCTCAGTTTTACAAATGTCAGATTAGGAAGTTTCCTCTTTATAAAATTATAGTTCTAGTTGATTGAGCTCCAAATTTAATGAAGTTTGCCTAACGAATGCAACGCTCATTCTTCTAAATAAAACAGAACATCCATCATGAGCTAATGGAAGGCATTTAGCAGCGAAATAGCTGAACTATTAACAAAATCGTGCACACTTTCATTAAGCAAAAGTATTATTCCAAAGGACTGCAAAATAGTAATTCAGATTTATATTTAGGTAGACTTCAGTTTCCTGGGATTAGACCAATAATACACTCACTTGATAGCACATAAATCTACAGTCTGAAATATCTAACAAATCATATGATTAAGTGCAAATAGCAGGGACATTGAAAGAAAAATTGTTTTCCTATCTAAAATTCTTTCAGTATGCTAACATACTAGATGAAGAACTGGTTTATTTATACCATCTTAAAGTCTCACAAGAGACTATCAAAGTACAGGGAGACAATTCATTGTGATGTGTTCCATGACTAAAGGAATATGAAGAAAATAAATAGCCCATTTCCATTGTACCGTAAGTATAGAGATTTAAATAGTCTGATACTTATTATATGGAAGCAGAAGAGGCTATGAGCACTGAGGTGCCATAGAAAATAGGTGAACTAGTACAGATCAATTATGACCAGAGAAGACCATGAAAATCTGAGACACAGACACATTATGCAAATAAGGAACTAGACGACAAATTAAAATTCTATACCAGCAAACTGAGGTCATGCATTCTGAGGAATCATCAAATAGGTGTTTCACAGAAATTTCCATATTTGACACACTGAATTACATAATGGTTTGGGTTGGAAAGGACCTTAAGATCATCCAGTTCCAATCCTCTGCCATGGACAGGGATGCTTCATGCTAGACCATGTCACCCAAGGCTCTGTCTAACCTGACCTTGAACACTGCCGGGGATGGGGCAGCCACAGCTTCTCTGGGCAACCCATTCCAGTGCCTCACCACCCTCACAGTAAAGAACTTCTTCCTCATATCTAACCTCAACTTCCCCTGTTTTAGTTTAAACCCATTTCCCCTTGTCCTATTGCTGCAGTCTCTGATGAAGAGCTCCCCCCCCTTCAGCATCCTTACAAGCCCCCTTGAGATACTGGAAGCTGCTCTGAGGTCTCTGAGCAGCTTCTCTTCTCCAGGCTGAACAGCCCCAACTTTCTCAGCATGTCTTCATGCATATCCCATATCTCTTCCTTTCTTCAACAGGTATATACCACAGACAAGTTCATTACTTCTTCCAAAAAAGCATTTCCATGGAGGCTTTCTTTAGCCTGAATTGAAGGCTGAGCACGTGTGCTGGGTCTGGTTGGGATATAGTTATTTTTCTTCACAGCAGAACATATGGTGTCGTGTTTTGGATTCATGACTAAACCAGTGTTGATAACACACCAGAGTTTTGGCAGAGCAGGGGACAGTCTGGCACGCAGCCATTCGTCAAGGACCATTTGGGTTTTCA